TCTTAAAGTCTTGGGTTGCATTCCAATAGTCCATTTAGCTTAGGAACCTTCCTAACGGAGTGAAATGACCCGGAAGTCCCTCAGTGGCAGCCATGATAAGTGCCGTTCCAATTCTCCAAATGAAAGGAAAGGAGATTTCAAACTTCCTTTATAACCTCCTTTAGCTTAGGAACCACTGGACCTCCCTCACCGAAAGGAGAGGAGAAAATGCTGCCCCACAATGCATTGCAGCCGCAGCATTTACCGTCACACAACAGTCGGCCGTTCACGGAAACAACCGATTATGACCGAGAAATGATATCATGAAAGTTACGGTGCTTATTAAGCTTTTTAAAACGTATGTGGTAAGTTGCCAAAGTGCTTTGTTTTGAACGTTCATCAGTATTATAATCAAAGAGAGAAATATGAACGTTAGTTTTTACTGAAATGATCAAATAAAGTCAACATCTCACAGTCTTTACTGAGCTGTGGGGTTTGTTCAACTTTTAAAAGATGTTTGAACGGTGATATACACAGAGATAGATGTTAAGGACTAACGTTTATAATAAATACATCTGTATTGATTTAAGATATTTTCATCAATCATACGTATTGGGATCATTTGTATTAATGTGGAACGGAGGGAGAGGGGGACGAGCAGAATAATAATAATAATTTCAATTTATATAGCGCCTTTCACGAAACCCAAGGACGCTTTACAACGGGAAGTAACAAAACAAAAAGTAATAATAATCATACAGATACATAGGCTGAAGAAAACAAAAAAGGAACAGGTTGCTGAGTACTGCATATTAGTTGAGGCCAAAGGCCTGAGTGAACAGATGGTGTTTGAGGTGTTTTTTGAAGGTGTCTAGAGTGTCTGCATTCCTGATTGCAGAGGGGAGAGAATTCCAGAGGGTGGGGGCTGCGACACTGAAGGCTCTGTTGCCAAATGTTTTCAGCTTGGAGCGCTGGATGGAGAGCAGCCCTTTGTCAGAGGACCGCAGGTGACGAGAGGGGGTGTAGGGCTGAAGGAGGTCAGAGATGTATGGAGGGGCTAGGGAGTGGAGAGATTTGTAAGTTAGCAGGAGGAGTTTGTACTGGATGCGTGACTTGACCGGGAGCCAGTGAAGGTGGATGAGGGTAGGGGTGATGTGTTGCCAGGGCTTAGTGTGGGTGAGGAGCCTGGCTGCAGAGTTCTGGACGTACTGGAGCCTGTCCAGGGCTTTGCTGGTGACCCCGAACAGAACTCCATTGCAGTAGTCCAGACGAGAAGGGATGAAGGTATGAATGAATGTTTCTGCAACGGGGGTCGGGGAGAGAGGGCCGGAGTCTGGAGATGTTTCGTAGGTGAAAGAAAGCAGTTTTGACAGTAGACCTGATGTGGGAGTTGAAGGTGAGGCTAGAGTCCAGAGTGACGCCCAGGCTGCGAACCTCAGGGGAAGGGTGGATGGAGCCGCCATCGATGGTGAGGAGCAGATCTCCAACCTTCCGGAGCAGTGTTTTTGGGGCCACAACCATGAGCTCTGTTTTGTTATTGTTGAGTTTAAGTAGATTTTTTGACATCCAGGCTTGGATGTCGCGGAGGCAGTTGACAAGTGACACTGGGGGTAGCTGGGATGATGGATTGGTACTGATGTAGAGTTGGGTGTCGTCGGCATAGGAGTGGAAGTTGAGACCATGTCGGCGGATGATTTCACCGAGGGGGGAGCATGTAGATGTTGAATAGAAGGGGGCCGAGCACTGAACCTTGCGGCACACCAGAAGTTTCACTTTCCTTTTTATTTCAATTCCAGCTTTGGTCCTGAAGAATATGTTTCTCTGTTGTCCACGTTCATAAAGCATAAAGCAGCAGCGTCAGAGCACAGAGTCTCTAGATGAGTTCACAGGAGTCCCTCGTTCTTATTGAACATCCATGTTGTAGTCCGCTGTATAGAGAACTGTAGTTTCCATAGTTTCCCCACAGCAGCAGACGCTCATTCAGGACGTCCGCTGGCGCATCAGAAACACGTCGGAAAGTGAAAGTGCAGTCGGATTCTCTAAAGTACTGCGGTCTCTTCTCCTAAGTCCTTTTGAATTCTCCTATCCACTATCCCTTAACCCCGTGACCTTTCACTCAGAAGAGAGGAATAGGAGATAGGGTTAGAATTTAGGAGCTGATTTTTGGATTATCGGAACGCAACCCAGGTCTTCATTCGGTCTTAATAATAATAATAATAATAATGCATTACATTTTTTATTAGAGCGCTTTTACAGGTGCTCAAAGCGCTTTACAATTACACATTACACATATTAGACATGTAAGAGTCATTCTGCGGACATTACCCACAGGAGCAAATGCGGGTAAAGTGTCTTGCCCAAGGACACAGTTGCCTGACGCAGTGGCGGCCGAGGCGGGATTCGAACTGGAGTTCACCAACGCCCTTTGATCTGATGACCAACGCTCTAACCACTGCGCCAAAATCGCCGCAAGGCCCTGACACACCAAGCAGTCACCAGAGAACTCGCCGACGCCGAAGTCGACTGTTGCGTCGGCGTGTTCTCCTGCGTCTTGGCCATGTGTCGCACTGGAACACACCGGACTTCAGCCGAGCACGTACGAACTGCACATGCATGCGTGAGTGGCAATAACTCTCCTTACCAGCAGGTGGCGGTAGTGTGTATTCATCATTCAAAAGAGGCAACAACCGGAAGACAGAGAAGAAGAACAGACAACGTGATATAAACAAACAACAAATAGCGTGTGCGTTCCATTTTCACTCTCCTCCATCGAAAACATGTTTCGTGCGGTACTGGAGTTATCAGCCATTTGGGTGTTGCTTGTGGAAGACATTCTCAAGCAACCGTTTCGCTTCTCATGCACTGATTCGCTAGCTGAACAGCCAATCAGAGGGATTTCTTTGTCCGACTGCCTGTGGCCGACGCACGGCCGATTCAACATGTTGAATCGGCCGTGCGTCGGCCATGAAAGGCCAAATAAGGCGTGTCACGGCCGACGGTGCGGGACACACCAAATTGAGTTTGGGCGACAGGACATGCTTCGTCGTCCGACTAACGAAAACGGCCGATTTCGGCCTGGTGTGTCAGGGCCTTTAAAGTCTTGGTCTTGACTCGGTCTCGCCCTCTTAAAGTCTTGGTCTTGACTCGGTCTCGCCCTCTTAAAGTCTTGGGTTGCGTTCCGATAATCCAAAAATCAGCTCCTAAGTTCTAACCCTATCTCCTATTCCTTGACCTCTGAGTGAAAGGTCACGGGGTTAAGGGATAGTGGATAGGAGAATTCAAAAGGACTTAGGAGAAGAGACTGCGGTACTTTAGAGAATCGACTGCACTTTCACTATCCGACGTGTTTCTGATGCTCCAGCGGACGTCCTGAATGAGCGTCTGCTGCTGTGGGGAAACTATGGAAACTACAGTTTTCTATACAGCGGACTACAACATGGATGTTCAATAAGAACGAGGGACTCCTGTAAACTCATCTAGAGACTCTGTGCTCTGATGCTGTTGCTTTAGGCTTTATGAACGTGGACAACAGAGAAACATATTCTTCAGGACCAAAGCTGGAATTGAAATAAAAAGGAAAGTGAAGCTTCTGCTCGTCACCCTCTCCCTCCGGTCCACTTTAATACAAATGATCCCAATACGTATGATTGATGAAAAGATCTTAAATCAATACAGATGTATTTATTATAAACGTTAGTCCTTAACATCTATCACTGTGTATATCACCATTCAAACATCTTTTAAAAGTTGAACAAACCCCACAGCTCAGTAAAGACTGAGATGTTGACTTTATTTGATCATTTCAGTAAAAACTAACGTTCATATTTCTCTCTTTGATTATAATACTGATGAACGTTCAGAACAAAGCACTTTGGCAACTTACCACATACGTTTTAAAATGCTTAATAAGCACCGTAACTTTCATGATATCATTTCTCCGTCATAATCGGTTGTTTCCGTGAACGGCCGACTGTTGTGTGACGGTAAATGCTGCGGCTGCAATGCATTGTGGGGCAGCATTTTCTCCTCTCCTTTCGGTTAGGGAGGTCCAGTGGTTCCTAAGCTAAAGGAGGTTATAAAGGAAGTTTGAAACCTCCTTTCCTTTCATTTGGAGAATTGGAACGGCACTTATCATGGCTGCCACTGAGGGACTTCCGTTAGAATGGAATTGGAATGCAACCCAGGTCTTGACTCTGTCTTGCCCTCTTAAAGTCTTGGTCTTGACTCGGTCTCGCCCTCTTAAAGTCTTGGTCTTGACTCGGTCTCGCCCTCTTAAAGTCTTGGTCTTGACTCGGTCTCGGTTAAGGTGGTCTTGACTACAACACTATAATCTATTACACACTCCTGTCCATCACACTGTAATGGTTGTATTACTTCATGAGTTTATTTGAACAGACTGAACATGGGTTGTCCTTGTTTGTTGTTTTCTACTGTTATTTTGTTTTTGTGTTTTCTTTTTAGTTTTGTTGAATGTCTGTCTAACATTGCCTTGAAAACGAGATGATGCATCTCAAGGGGTTGATCCTAATAAATACATTCCAATATATAGAATAAACAAAATATAAATCCTTATGAAACACAAATAAAGACACTTTATAAATGTAGAGTTCAGCTTGGTGTGGACTCATGCTGCCCCCTGGTGGCTGAAACAACACCTGCAGCTGTGATTTAAATCCAAATCACTTTAAGATAAGTACTTTATTGATCCCAAATGTTGCGCTGCAGCAGCATAAACAACAACAAAACACAACAAGGCATTGCACTATGGTAGAAATTAGAGTAACTTGTGAAACTCGTGATTTTTATCTCAATAAATCTCCTAATTATGCTTTAATATTTATCTATTTGACCAAGACAGGTTATATTTGTATTTATGACTTATTGGACAGACTTGTTTCAAAGGTCATTAATGTCAATAAAAGACATTATCTCTTACTGTATATGTGTATAAGGATGTGTTTGACCTCCAGACCGGGGGTCAGGAAGTGAGGAAGTGAATAAAAACCCAAGAGACGGAGATCTTCTGGTTAAAAGTCTTTATGATGACTCTACTGTACAGTGAATTAAAGTGGAGGAACTTCATTAGACGGGATGGAGAGGGGGGGAGCTGCCATCTGAAGGGTTAACTCAGACAAGTCAACATTGCATAAAGAAATCCATCATCAGAACGAAGCAGAGCAGCCGAAACAGATAAACAACAATAATAATAATAAAAACTCACAGTTAAAAGGTTAGGTCATGAGCTCAGAGAACAACACGCTGATTACAGGAGTGTGTGTGGCACTTTGATAGAGTGTGTGTGTGTGTGTGTTGTCACTAATTGCACTTGAGGATGAGGATATGGAGATCACATTACTAGTCAGTTGTCTGCAGGTTATTTTTTTGGCTTTTTTCTGGAAATGTTTGTCGGAAAACAACGAAAAAACATAAAAACTTGGACCGACTCGCCTTCAAATCAACCAGCTCCACACAGACTACAACTCCCATGATGCTTAGAGGCAATCAAATCCACAATGTAGATATTCATAATAGCTTCGCCTGCTCTTCCACATTGTCTTATTGTGTGATGGCTGGCAAGTTAAGCTTTTCAATGAACTTTTACTAAGCATTAACACTTGTTAAGAGGAGAAACTAACTATTATTACCACAATGTGTGTTAACTTTATCCAAAAAACCTATATCAGAGGTATTACAGTGATGTTTGTAGCTGTGAGATTGAGCTCTGATTGTGTTGAAAGAGAGTCGGACCCTCAAACACTAACAACAGAAATAAAACAACAGAAGAGAAAACATTATAAAAACACATGAGGTCGTACAATACAGTGAAGCTTATCAAATAGGAAGGTGACAGGAAGTGAAATATCAGTGACATCGTGTCTAAAGGAATATTTTCTGGGACACTTTACATGATAATGGTCATAAAGCAGATTAAACTGTGGAGAAAATACACAGTAAGTACACAGCGATAACGTTGAATACAGAGGGAGAAGCACCTTGATTACAGCTTTAGCCGCTATATCGTGATTTGGGGCTAAAGCTGCGTTTATGAGGGAATATTGAACCTGATCCACTAGAACATGTGTTTCCCTTCGATCAAACTAAGACATATCTAGCCATACCAGCTGTTAAACTCAGCACTTACATTTTAGCTTTATGAAAATGAACATAGCTTTTAAAAATCGTAAATCTGAGTGGAGTTCCACAGGGTTCAATACTGGTGCCTCTATTGTTCTCGTTCTACATCGAATCCAGTGCATTCATGTTGATAAAGGGGATTTTTTCCCAGTATTTAATTGATGTACCACGGCACTGGTGTCGGAAAGAAGCCATTGTTCATTTTAATAGGATTTAAATTTAAGGATTTGGTTCCACAAACAATAACGTTGCTTGCTAGCTAACAGCGGAGATCTTCACCTCCTGATACTATTATTTTAATGAATTTACTTTCTGATTTCTGGTCTTGTGTCATGTATCTGATGAAAGTCAGACACTGCACAAGTGGTGGAAGGGTTGAACGTTTTTGTGAATAAAAAAACCTTTGCATTTTGGAGAAAATCTGAATCACGGGGCAGTTTTTGGGACGGGGACGCTACCCTACGTCGACCATTGCGACGAATGGTACCAGTACATGTCCAAACACTCATTAATTGTTGTGTTTCTTCTTTAAAATAACTGTAACTGGTAGCAGCAGATATATACATGATAGTGGAGGCGGTCGTCTATTTATTTCTTGCTTTGGTTGGGTTATCTTTGACGATCGATGTGTTTCCAACAAGCCAAACAACAACATTTGTCTAATAAATAAACAAAATCAACTTTAAAATGTCTGAAAGGAAATATTCTTAAACTTCTTCTCCCTATTACAATAACAAATAAGAAAATGACTCGTGATTTTAGCCCAGAATCATCAAATTAGACTAAACTAAAGTCATTTTAATTAATTTATGACTTTATTCAAGGTGTTTTTTTTTGCAATACGACCCCTTTTTTCAGCCGTAAATGTTTTCTTTTACCGCCTTAATACTCAGTTGTAGTTTGGCAGATCGTCTCAATCTGCATGTTTGAAGCAGACTGAGGTTTCACTGCAGTATCCCTGTGTACTTGGTGGTTTTCCTCCAGTTTAAAAACACCAGTAGGACCATCAGCGATGTCCCAGCATCACGAGGTGGTGATTTTTACATTCTGTGCAAAATTAGACATACAAGTAGTCCACATTAGTATCTCGGTCTACACGTTTCTTCTATTTACAGTTAGTCTTCTAAGACGTTAGTACCATCGTCGCCCGGCAGGACTAAGACATTCCTCAGAGGGACGAAATCCACCTTTAAACGAACGCTGCCGATTCGGGATAGAGACGAGACATCCTGAACTCCTGAGCGTTTTACAATCTTTTACATTAAAAGTTCAACAATCGTGTTGCTGCTGCACGCTCGCTGTGAAATCAGGGAACAAATCACCTTCCGAAGAGTTCAATGAAGCTTAACTTGAGATATGAGACAAAAACAAAGAAAAATCTGCTTTATCTCGTAAAACACTTCATCTTTTAAGTGTGTTTTAATCTCACATTTCTGTCTCATCTTTGATGTGAATCTCATAATTCAAATGTAATATCTCAATATGAATTGGAGATCTTTTAATTTAGAGGAATAAGGACCTAAAATGAATTGCGATGTCATTAATTATTGTGAAAACACTCAAATTCATAATAATACTAGATAATTAGTTATAATGAAGACATCACATGTTTATGTTTTTGGGATGTTGTTAATGAAGGAGGTCCAGGTGCCGTCTCGCTCCCGGAGATCCCTGATAATTAAACTCGCCGCGTCGTATTTAAAAAAGGTGGACGTTTTCCTCGTCCCTCTTTTTTTAAAACGACCTGCTGCTAATCAGCTGTTTGTCGAGAAGGCATCGAGCAAAAAGGTAAAAAACACAGGGCACAAAGTGAGGGGATAGAAAAATAAAAAACTGTGAAACACAACGAGACGATCACCTCACGCCTCTGTGGCAGAGGAACATAAACTAGGAGGAGGAGGAGGAGGAGGAGGAGGAGGAGGAGGAGGAGGAGGAGGAGGAGGAGGAAGAAGAAGAAGAAGAAGAAGAAGAAGAAGAAGAAGAGTAAAAGCAGTCTCCTCAGAAGAACTTGTCGTCGATCCTGAAGTGCGGCCGGGTCACGTCGTCCGGGTTGATGAACACAGAGATGGACTTCCCGGGGTTCTCCGTCACCAGCTGCTGGAGCTTCTTGGCCAGCCGGTCGTCGGGCGGACTGTCTGCTGCCGAGTCGCTCTGAGGCACCGATTGGCTGCCTCCTCTCCACTGGAGCTCTTCTGTCATCCGATTGGCCGCCTTGGCGTGCTCGATGGTGGATCTGAGGTGCTCCGCCGGGTCGGAGCGCACCGAGGACAGCTTTCAGAACCAGAAGAGAACCCGTTATTAGTCCCACATTGTTACAGCAGAAAAATACATCTTAAAGTTAGCTATTAATTAAAATCCACTTCTTCATGTCTCTTCTACATCAACGTGTGTCCCCTCTTCTTCATGTCTCTTCTACATCAACATGTGTCCCCTCTTCTTCATGTCTCTTCTACATCAACATGTGTCCCCTCTTCTTCATGTCTCTTCTACATCAACATGTGTCCCCTCTTCTTCATGTCTCTTCTACATCAACATGTGTCCCCTCTTCTTCATGTCTCTTCTACATCAACGTGTGTCCCCTCTTCTTCATGTCTCTTCTACATCAACATGTGTCCCCTCTTCTCCATGTCTCTTCTACATCAACGTGTGTCCCCTCTTCTTCATGTCTCTTCTACATCAACATGTGTCCCCTCTTCTTCATGTCTCTTCTACATCAACATGTGTCCCCTCTTCTTCATGTCTCTTCTACATCAACATGTGTCCCCTCTTCTTCATGTCTCTTCTACATCAACATGTGTCCCCTCTTCTTCATGTCTCTTCTACATCAACATGTGTCCCCTCTTCTTCATGTCTCTTCTACATCAACATGTGTGCCCTCTTCCTCATGTCTCTTCTACATCAACATGTGTCCCCTCTTCTTCATGTCTCTTCTACATCAACATGTGTCCCCTCTTCTTCATGTCTCTTCTACATCAACATGTGTCCCCTCTTCTTCATGTCTCTTCTACATCAACATGTGTCCCCTCTTCTTCATGTCTCTTCTACATCAACGTGTGTCCCCTCTTCTTCATGTCTCTTCTACATCAACGTGTGTCCCCTCTTCTTCATGTCTCTTCTACATCAACATGTGTCCCCTCTTCTTCATGTCTCTTCTACATCAACATGTGTCCCCTCTTCCTCATGTCTCTTCTACATCAACATGTGTCCCCTCTTCTTCATGTCTCTTCTACATCAACATGTGTCTCCTCTTCTTCATGTCTCTTCTACATCAACATGTGTCCCCTCTTCTTCATGTCTCTTCTACATCAACGTGTGTCCCCTCTTCTTCATGTCTCTTCTACATCAACGTGTGTCCCCTCTTCTTCATGTCTCTTCTACATCAACATGTGTCCCCTCTTCTTCATGTCTCTTCTACATCAACATGTGTCCCCTCTTCTTCATGTCTGTTCTTCATCAACATGTGTCCCCTCTTCTTCATGTCTCTTCTACATCAACATGTGTCCCCTCTTCTTCATGTCTCTTCTACATCAACATGTGTCCCCTCTTCCTCATGTCTCTTCTACATCAACATGTGTCCCCTCTTCTTCATGTCTCTTCTACATCAACATGTGTCCCCTCTTCTTCATGTCTCTTCTACATCAACATGTGTCCCCTCTTCTTCATGTCTCTTCTACATCAACATGTGTCCCCTCTTCTTCATGTCTCTTCTACATCAACATGTGTCCCCTCTTCTTCATGTCTCTTCTACATCAACAGTCTTCCCCTCTTCTTCATGTCTCTTCTACATCAACATGTGTCCCCTCTTCTTCATGTCTCTTCTACATCAACATGTGTCCCCTCTTCTTCATGTCTCTTCTACATCAACATGTGTCCCCTCTTCTTCATGTCTCTTCTACATCAACATGTGTCCCCTCTTCTTCATGTCTCTTCTACAATCAACATGTGTCCCCTCTTCTTCATGTCTCTACTTCTTTACATCAACATGTGTCCCCTCTTCTTCATGTCTCTTCTACATCAACATGTGTCCCCTCTTCTTCATGTCTCTTCTACATCAACACGTGTCCCCTCTTCTTCATGTCTCTTCTACATCAACACGTGTCCCCCTCTTCTTCATGTCTCTTCTTCATCAACACGTGTCCCCCTCTTCTTCATGTCTCTTCTACATCAACACGTGTCCCCTCTTCTTCAATGTCTCTTCTACATCAACACGTGTCCCCTCTTCTTCATGTCTCTTCTACAATCAATATGTGTCCCCTCTTCTTCATGTCTCTTCTACATCAACATGTGTCCCCTCTTCTTCATGTCTCTTCTACAATCAACGTGTTCCCTCTTCTTCATGTCTCTTCTACATCAACATGTGTCCCCTCTTCTTCATGTCTCTTCTACATCAACAGTGTCCCCTCTTCTTCATGTCTCTTCTACATCAACACGTGTCCCCTCTTCTTCATGTCTCTTCTACATCAATGTGTCCCCTCTTCTTCAGTCTCTTCTACATCAACATGTGTCCCCTCTTCTTCATGTCTCTTCTACATCAATGTGTCCCCTCTCTCTTCATGTCTCTTCTACATCAACATGTGTCCCCTCTTCTTCATGTCTCTTCTACATCAACATGTGTCCCCTCTTCTTCATGTCTCTTCTACATCAACATGTGTCCCCTCTTCTTCATGTCTCTTCTACATCAACATGTGTCCCCTTCTTCTCACGTCTCTTCTACATCAACATGTGTCCCCTCTTCTTCACGTCTCTTCTACATCAACATGTGTCCCCCTCTTCTCTTCATGTCTCTTCTACATCAACATGTGTCCCCTCTTCTTCATGTCTCTTCTACATCAACATGTGTCCCCTCTTCTTCATGTCTCTTCTTACATCAACATGTGTCCCCTCTTCTCATGTCTCTTCTACATCAACATGTGTCCCCCTCTTCTTCAGGTCTCTTCTACATCAACACGTGTCCCCTCTTCTTCATGTCTCTTCTACATCAACACGTGTCCCCTCTTCTCCATGTCTCTTCTACATCAACACGTGTCCCCTCTTCTTCATGTCTCTTCTACATCAACACGTGTCCCCTCTTCTTCATGTCTCTTCTACATCAACACGTGTCCCCTCTTCTCCAGTTCTCTTCTACATCAACACGTGTCCCCTCTTCTCATGTCTCTTCTACATCAACACGTGTCCCCTCTTCTCCATGTCTCTTCTACATCAACACGTGTCCCCTCTTCTTCATGTCTCTTCTACATCAACATGTGTCCTCTCTTCTCCATGTCTCTTCTACATCAACACGTGTCCCCTCTTCTTCATGTCTCTTCTACATCAACACGTGTCCCCTCTTCTCCATGTCTCTTCTACATCAACATGTGTCCCCTCTTCTTCATGTCTCTTCTACATCAACATGTGTCCCCTCTTCTTCATGTCTCTTCTACATCAACATGTGTCCCCTCTTCTTCATGTCTCTTCTTCATCAACATGTGTCCCCTCTTCTTCATGTCTCTTCTACATCAACATGTGTCCCCTCTTCTTCATGTCTCTTCTACATCAAAATGTGTCCCCTCTTCTTCATGTCTCTTCTACATCAACATGTGTCCCCTCTTCTTCATGTCTCTTCTACATCAACATGTGTCCCCTCTTCTTCATGTCTCTTCTACATCAACATGTGTCCCCTCTTCTCCATGTCTCTTCTACATCAACATGTGTCCCCTCTTCTTCATGTCTCTTCTACATCAACATGTGTCCCCTCTTCTCCATGTCTCTTCTTCATCAACATGTGTCCCCTCTTCTTCATGTCTCTTCTACATCAACATGTGTCCCCTCTTCTTCATGTCTCTTCTACATCAACATGTGTCCCCTCTTCTTCATGTCTCTTCTACATCAACATGTGTCCCCTCTTCTTCATGTCTCTTCTACATCAACACGTGTCCCCTCTTCTTCATGTCTCTTCTACATCAACACGTGTCCCCTCTTCTTCATGTCTCTTCTACATCAACATGTGTCCCCTCTTCTTCATGTCTCTTCTACATCAACATGTGTCCCCTCTTCTCCATGTCTCTTCTACATCAACATGTGTCCCCTCTTCTTCATGTCTCTTCTACATCAACATGTGTCCCCTCTGTGGAAAGAGACTCTGAATGTTTCAGGAACAAAGATTCTCTCTCTTTTTGATCCATTTCTATAAAAACCTGTCTGAAAATGAGCTGATCAGATTTTGGCCACTTGATGATGTCATCACGATGTTTCGTCTTGAGTAACCAGTAGCCAATCAGCAACAAGGTAAGGTAATGTTGGACATTAAGACCTCTATTAGAGCTTGTAGAAACTCTTGCATTGTTTCTGAATCTGCAGCGTATTTCTACTAAAGAGGTGTTTTGGGCACGTTGGCTGCTGCCGGCCTCCGTACTGATGTTCAGTTTCAAATCAGAAAGAGAAAAGTCAGAAGTTATTGAGACAATGTTGGAATAGCTCTGATCAACCAATCTGTATCCAACAAACCAGTTTAAGAAATAACATCAATATTTAAATGGCGTAATTTAAATTAAACACACTGTTTTAATTTAAAGCTGCTTTATTTTGAAAACCGGATGTTCACACTCGACTTCCGGTTTTGCGAGTAAATATTGTTAGCTTCAATTTAGCATTAGCATGTGGCTAATATTACGTTTTGTGAAAGTGAATTTAAGGAGAAATGACACGCGCTGTTGCACACTAAACACACTGTCTTTAACTCTCACTTATTGACGCTGCAATACTATTCTTAGGGAATGTTTAAACCAACAGATATTAGAAGATTGCAAAACTAACATCAGAAAACAACAGCATGCGCCTTGGACCCGCCCCCCGTCGACGCCGGCCAATAGGAGAAGACTACAGTTGATAACACGTGAAGCCAGTTGAAAATCGACCTCTTTCACCCCAGCTGACCCCACCTGACCGGAACAGCTGACCCCACGTGACCGGAACAGCTGACCCCACCTGACCGGAACAGCTGACCCCACGAACAGCTGACCCCACCTGACCGGAACAGCTGACCCCACGTGACCGGAACAGCTGACCCCACCTGACCGGAACAGCTGACCCCACGTGACCGGAACAGCTGACCCCACCTGACCGGAACAGCTGACCCCACATGACCGGAACAGCTGACCCCACCTGACCGGAACAGCTGACCCCACGTGACCGGAACAGCTGACCCCACGTGACCGGAACAGCTGACCCCATGTGACCGGAACAGCTGACCCCACCTGACCGGAACAGCTGACCCCATGTGACAGGAACAGCTGACCCCACATGACCGGAACAGCTGACCCCACCTGACCGGAACAGCTGACCCCACGTGACCGGAACAGCTGACCCCATGTGACCGGAACAGCTGACCCCATGTGACTGGAACAGCTGACCCCACCTGACCGGAACAGCTGACCCCACCTGACCCACCTGACCGGAACAGCTGACCCCACCTGACCGGAACAGCTGACCCCACCGGAACAGCTGACCCCACCTGACCGGAACAGCTGACCCCACCTGACCCACCTGACCGGAACAGCTGACCCCACCTGACCGGAACAGCTGACCCCACCGGAACAGCTGACCCCACCTGACCGGAACAGCTGACCCCACCGGAACAGCTGACCCCACGTGACCGGAACAGCTGACCCCACGTGACCGGAACAGCTGACCCCACCTGACCGGAACAGCTGACCCCACATGACCGGAACAGCTGACCCCACCTGACCGGAACAGCTGACCCCACGTGACCGGAACAGCTGACCCCACGTGACCGGAACAGCTGACCCCACCTGACCGGAACAGCTGACCCCACCTGACCGGAACAGCTGACCCCATGTGACAGGAACAGCTGACCCCACATGACCGGAACAGCTGACCCCACCTGACCGGAACAGCTGACCCCACGTGACCGGAACAGCTGACCCCATGTGACCGGAACAGCTGACCCCACCTGACCGGAACAGCTGACCCCACCTGACCCACCTGACCGGAACAGCTGACCCCACCTGACCCACCTGACCGGAACAGCTGACCCCACCTGACCGGAACAGCTGACCCCACCTGACCGGAACAGCTGACCCCACCTGACCCACCTGACCGGAACAGCTGACCCCACCTGACCGGAACAGCTGACCCCACCGGAACAGCTGACCCCACATGACCGGAACAGCTGACCCCACCTGACTGGAACAGCTGACCCCACGTGACTGGAACAGCTGACCCCACGTGACCGGAACAGCTGACCCCACCTGACCGGAACAGCTGACCCCACGTGACCGGAACAGCTGACCCCACGTGACTGGAACAGCTGACCCCACGTGACCGGAACAGCTGACCCCACGTGACTGGAACAGCTGACCCCACGTGACCGGAACAGCTGACCCCACCTGACCCACCTGACCGGAACAGCTGACCCCACATGACCGGAACAGCTGACCCCACGTGACCGGAACAGCTGACCCCATGTGACCGGAACAGCTGACCCCACGTGACCGGAACAGCTGACCCCACACGTGACCGGAACAGCTGACCCCACACGTGACCGGAACAGCTGACCAAGGGGGAAGCAGCCATCCCTTGCACATTTCATTGCATCATTGTTTAATTAAATGCTGTTAACTTTTAAATAAGTTTCCTGGAGTCTTTTCAGCTAACCCTGCGCTCAGAGCTGAACTCCCCTCAGTCAGTCTGCAGCTCATTAAGTCCTGTGGACATGTTCTGGTGATATCTGAGACCTGTAATAAAGTAATAAAAACAGTATAACAGGGGACCTTGAACGTTACCTTTCTGGCGTGCAGCATGGCCGCCTCGTCGGACAGCGTCTCCAGCATGTTGCATTGTGGGATGAAGTAGTTGGGGCACATCTTGTTGAGCAGGCAGTGCTGCAGGTCGTCGATGAGGCCCAGCAGGAAGCAGGCGGAGAAGTGCTCCTGGAGGAGGAAGGAGGCGGGCAGGCGGTCGCACGCCCAGAGCATCACGCTGCGCAGGTGGTACGGGCTGAGGGCCTTCGGGCGCGAGAGTAGCTTGATGAGGATCGCTTTGCACGCCTGGTACGCCTGCATGAGGCTGGAGGAGATGCACTTCTTCAGCTGCACCTGGAGGGAACATGTGGATATGAGTTACTCTGCATGAGGAGAGGCTCTTCTTCAGCTGCACCTGGAGGGAACATGTGGATATGAGTTACTCTGCAGGAGGAGAGGCTCTTCTTCAGCTGCACCTGGAGGGAACATGTGGATATGAGTTACTCTGCATGAGGAGAGGCTCTTCTTCAGCTGCACCTGGAGGGAACATGTGGATATGAGTTACTCTGCAGGAGGAGAGGCTCTTCTTCAGCTGCACCTGGAGGGAACATGTGGATATGAGTTACTCTGCAGGAGGAGAGGCTCTTCTTCAGCTGCACCTGGAGGGAACATGTGGATATGAGTTACTCTGCAGGAGGAGAGGCTCTTCTTCAGCTGCACCTGGAGGGAACATGTGGATATGAGTTACTCTGCAGGAGGAGAGGCTCTTCTTCAGCTGCACCTGGAGGGAACATGTGGATATGAGTTACTCTGCAGGAGGAGAGGCTCTTCTTCAGCTGCACCTGGAGGGAACATGTGGATATGAGTTACTCTGCAGGAGGAGAGGCTCTTCTTCAGCTGCACCTGGAGGGAACATGTGGATATGAGTTACTCTGCAGGAGGAGAGGCTCTTCTTCAGCTGCACCTGGAGGGAACATGTGGATATGAGTTACTCTGCAGGAGGAGAGGCTCTTCTTCAGCTGCACCTGGAGGGAACATGTGGATATGAGTTACTCCTGCAGGAGGAGAGGCTCTTCTTCAGCTGCACCTGGAGGGAACATGTGGATATGAGTTACCTCTGCAGGAGGAGAGGCCTTCGTCGCTGCACCTGGAGGGAACATGTGGATATGAGTTACTCCTCTGCAGGAGGAAGGCTCTTCTTCAGCTGCACCTGGAGGGAACATGTGGATATGAGTTACTCTGCAGGAGGAGAGGCTCTTCTTCAGCTGCACCTGGAGGGAACATGTTGATATGAGTTACTCTGCAGGAGGAGAGGCTCTTCTTCAGCTGCACCTGGAGGGAACATGTGGATATGAGTTACTCTGCAGGAGGAGAGGCTCTTCTTCAGCTGCACCTGGAGGGAACATGTGGATATGAGTTACTCTGCAGGAGGAGAGGCTCTTCATCAGCTGCACCTGGAGGGAACATGTGATATAGATTACTCTGCAGGAGGAGAGGCTCTTCTTCAGCTGCACCTGGAGGGAACATGTGGATATGAGTTCTCTGCAGGAGGAGAGGCTCTTCTTAGCTGCACCTGGAGGGAACATGTGGATATGAGCTCTT